CGATGCGTGCGAGATCGGTGTTGGGGACGCCGAGCATGACCTCAATGTTGGTGCCTCCGAGGGCTTGGAGCGCAGCTTGATCCGGGTCGTAGAGTCTCATCCTTCGGATGTTGTATTGGTTGTAGAGAGCTATGACTTCTGGGCGGGGCGGTAAGTTGTTACCAAGCATGCCATAACAAACACCAATTTGGGCACCTGCATAATATTGAATTTAACAACTTATATAAATTAATCATTATTTTAATTTTTCTTAAATTAACTTTAGATTGTGATTAATCTAGTGCTGTTAAATTTTTGACAATCAAAATTAAAAACAAAAGAAGTAACAATATGCATAGAAATGTTAAACAATAAGGTTTTTGTTTAGTATGGTTATAAGTTTCTAGTTTTGGTTTCTGTTTCCTTATATATTAAAATAATTATTTTTTAAATATTTTTTAAGTTAAGAATTAGGGAACAATTTTTATATTTATTTATAATATTTTTAAAAAATAAATAAATAATAAAAAAATATTTTTTGTAATTAGATAATTAATTAAAGTGAATGACTAATGATAAAATTAAAATAAAAAATATTAATTTATATTAAAAAAATTAAAACTAAATTTAAAAAATAAAATGCCAGCTTATTGAGTATAAGCTTTAGAAATAATACTTAAATCTAAAAATTTAATTAATTTATAAAACTTATTAATTTTATTTTAGAGTATCGAAATTTCTAAAAAACCACAAAAAAAATTAAAAACTACGTCGCACTAAACAAATATATATAGAGTGTGAGGTTACTTGTGGTGGAGAGGATGGCCATTAGAAGGCTGAAGAGGAGCATTGTTGAAGCCATGAAACTACGTTTGCTGGCTAAAGATAGTATCTTAGCCATAATAACTGAAGGAGAGAAGGCTATATGTATTGATCAAAGGAGGGATGCATTGCCACATACTTCTTAGCTTGCCTTATATAGAGGCCTAAATTTGGTGGAAAAGTCTTCCACAAATGAACGCTTGCGTCATTCAAAGTACTAGAAAATTGTGGAGAAAAAGGAAGTTGCGAAGAAATGTTTTACTTCCTCTCTTTGGTCCCTATGTGAATAATTTATCTTTGAATTAGAGCAGAGGTAGCACCAAAATAAATAAATAAATAATAATAATAATAATAATAATAATAATAATAATAACAACAACAACAACAACAACGAGATAGCACAAATCTATTTGGCGCTCCCAAAATATAATAGTAGAGACAGATCTTTTCTCGAACAAAAAATTAGAATAAATCCACTCGTAAAGTTTTTAACTTTGACAAATTACTCAAAATTTAACATATAACGTTATCTGATATCAGTAATCTGTTAATTTGATATCAATAATTTGTTAATTTAATATCATATGACGTCAGCAATCTGTTAACAGATTAACGGATTGTTGATATTAGATCATATCACATGTTAAATTTGGGGTGATTTATTTAAGTCAAAAACTTTATGAATGAATTTGTCCCTATTTTTTGTTTGAGGGTGGATCTGTCCTACCACTATATTTTGGAGGTGAATTTGGGTATTTTGTCAATTTATTTTTGAACACTCTAATATATAATTTATGTAAAAAGAAGAAGAAATATTCTCCTTCCTAATTATTAATATCAAAAAATAATTTATTGACAATATTAATTAATAATAAAATCTTAAAATATAATATGATGTAATTTTTATTGATTTTTTTTAATTTATATAAAATAATTGATAATATATACATTTACTTATTCAATATTATATAAATATTATAAACTTTTTTTCTAAGATGTTCATTATCAAAAAGTTCCAAAACCTTTATTTTTATCAAAAACTTGTTTAAAAATTATATGTTTGCTTTCTAAAATTCAAAATTTTCATGATTAAAATTTAAATTTCAAAAGATAAAAAATATAAATTTTTAACTTAAAAATTACTTACTAAGAACTAAGCCAAACAGAGCCCTAGTCTATCCTCTAATGAAATGACGGGTATCTCTCACCCATGAGCCGTGGCACTCTTGACTTCCAAGTCTGCTCTGTACAGGTGGGCGTTTTCTCTTGACTGTAGTTCATTTCGTCAGAACACAATTAAGAGGTGAGGATTTTTTTATTTTTTTTACAAGATATTATGAGTTATATGAGATATATATACATAAATATTTTTTTTCTCTCAAATTTATTTTTATTTGGCTCAAATTTTGAATAAGAAACTTCTTCTTATTGCACCTGACCTTTCGGATTAAGTGACCTTTGGACTGCCCTTGCAGGTGTATCACCCCCCTCCCCCATGGTAGGTTCAAAACCCACCCTTGTAAAAATTGGTAAAAAAAAAAAAAAAAACTTCTTATTTAAAATTTTAAGTTTTTAATTAGTTAAACCATTTTAAAAAAGTGAGGTGAGGACTGTTATAAATAGAT